ACCATCCCTGTCCCTGCCAGCCCCTCCCGGTCCTGCTCCCTGTGCTTTCCGCTAATGCACAGTCTTGTCTGTGCAGGAAAGGCTGGGAAGCTGATTATTTGGGATACCTGGGGTTAGAATGTTGTGTCCCAGGCGTTCCTCGGCTGTGAGGTGCCAGGGATATGTGTGGYCACCCCTAGAGGGATTTGGGGTGATTAATTTTGGCCAGGGATGCCCCAAGTGCAGCAGGGACAGCTGGGGCCTGGTTTTGGGCCTGCTGTTTATTTATGAACCTCTGACTGGGGAAAATAAAAAATGCACGCTGGCAAGTCATCCCYGAAGGCTTCAAATGAGCTATTGGGKTTTTTTTTCATCTTTTATCCCAGCTTGTGTTGTTTAGAGCAGAAGGAAGCCCACAGGGAAGTACACCAGGTGTGCAGGTTTTCTCCAAGCCAGGTGTTTGCTATCCGGTTACAATTCTGTAAAACACATGGCAGCTTCTCAGGTGGAAATGTTGCTCCTGGAAGCGCATGGTCTGATGAATTGGGGAGTTTAATTTTTTCACACCTGCTAAACAAGGCTGATTACCCACCTGAGAAAAAGGGGGAKCTGTTAATTAGCCCTGTTAATGGTTAATGATTTCTGCCTGTTCATGAAATTGTCAGTATGAGGATATGCTCAGTAAAGATAACTGAAAGTTAGTAAGAAGCAGGTTTTTCCCAAATAATAATTCTATTCTGTGTTTTTTGGTTAAAATATTTTTGGTTTAAAAAGTTAATTTTCAAAACTGCATGACATTTTGTAAACACACTCTAAACACCCGTAAACACCTAAAAAATCCATAACTGGGTATTGAAGGGTCAGACAATTGTATATAAGATGAATAGTACTATCCAAATTCTTTCTCTCATGCTGAATATATACACACCAGTGTATATACTTGTGTATATCCTGATGGATTCAGTGTTATCTAAACTGTCCTTAAATCTGTTGCTCATATTCTGGGTAATACGTGTGTGAATTATAAAATACAGCTCTATTTTTTGCAAGTATTACTGGTTTTTAGTATTTTTTTATAGTGATTTGTGTTCAGTTCACTAAAGAACYACAAAGGTCTAAGGTCTGCTGTGTGTGAAATTATAAATAAGAGTTGCAAAAAGCTGGCAAGTTTTAGGACTGAATTTTAGTGGTTTTCATGTGGAATGTAACAGGTGCTTTCTGTACTCCAGCTCTACATTCAGTTGTTAAAAGGTGCAGAGAGGTGAGACCTTCACATTGTGGAGAACGCTTTGATGTTGTTGCTGTTGTTATCAGTTAAATAAGCTTAAGCTTATTTTTCCTTAAGCTTGGGGAAGATATTTTTGTGGGAATCTGAAATGTTCTTACAGAGTTTTGAAGAGACACCACTTAAAATCTGAAATGTTCTTCAGGAATTTTCAAAAGACACCACTTGCTCTCGTAAATTGGAAGCTGCAATAACCTTTTTTTGTTCTTCTCTTTCTATAGGGTCACACAACCAGTGTTTGYTTTGCCTACTGGATTCATCATGATAACTCCAGCTTTTGAACTGACCCAGGATCCAAATTTTCTTACAATAAAAATCAGAGTGCCTTATGCCAGAGCTTCAGAGTTTGACATCTATTTTGAAGGGGAAGATTTCAAATTTTATGCTAAGCCATACTTTCTCAGGTAAGTGATGGGGGAAAAAAAAAGTTTAAAATTGACCTTTGTAGTAGAGAATTTTGGTCTTCAGAATGTTCCTCATCTGCAGCTTTTACTCTTGTTATTTGCAGACAGCCCATTTCATGCAAAGATTTGTTTTTTTGGATCTGCCCTCTTTGTTCCTAGGCATTAAATCATGTTAAAGGGAGTTGAAAGAAATACTTTTCTAAATTTACTGTACAATGGATTTTTAATTGTAAATGGCCAGGCGACTCTCTGGGTGTAAATTTTGTAGAGTGTGTCTTTTCCTGGGAGGATTCCAGGGGGATTTAACTGCATGGATTCCATTTCTATGAAAAGGAGTTATGTAGTTAAGTCTTTTGTGCTGCTTTTGGAATGTGCCTTACATTTTTGTAGGCTGAGACATTAACTCGCAGAATTAGTCAGGCTTTCAGTGAGGCATCTCTTTTTTTTTTTTTCCTGCAGATTGACACTTCCTGGAAGAACTGTAGAGGATGGCAGAGAAAAAGCAACTTATAATACAGATGAAGGTATTGGTTAATGTTATTGGTATCTGTGTCATTAAAAATGTTGCTGTCTCCAATAATTTATACTTCAAAACGGAAACAGCARTAAAACAATAAATCTTTCTTGCAGAACCTTTTTTACATGACTGAAAACAATAATCAGATTGGTGAATGTAGCTTCTGCAGGTTGTTTGGTGGAAGGATTAAAAATTAAATAAAGCTTGTTTTCTTCTGTTGGTTTGTGTTTATACAATGCAAGTCAGGAGACTCCAACTGGTTAGATATTCTCTTTCATGTTTTTTCATTAAAATCCTGAATTTTTTTGAAATAAGGTTAGAAACATTCACATGGATCAATGCATAATAAAATGCTACCTGCATGTGTCCTACTTCCTCTGAGACTTCCTTATTAGAGGAAAAAAGCATGGTTTTGTTTCTGTTGCATATTTTAATGCAATTAATTATATTCTGACTTTTTTTAGGCACTTTTACAATTTGGTTACCCAAGGAGACTCCTGGCCAGTATTTCGAGGGGCTGGGCATGCTGACATCTCTTTTAGCCCCCAAGAAATCAAGATCAGCCAAACCTCTGGTAGAAGAGATGGGTATGACAAAATCTACCTTGTTTGTACTGGTGATACATGTGTGTAATGAAACAGTTGGAGATCTGTAGAGTGATACATGTAGAAAAATTCAATATTTCTGTTATTGGCTAGTCCAAGGTATGAGAAGGGGGTGAATAAATCAAAGTATAGGTAAGTGTAGAAATAAATATCTGTAGATGGTACATAGGTCAACTTTACAGGGTTGATTATGTTTAAATTCTTCCAAAATGTGCTTAAAAAAGATGCTAATGCTGTGTAGGTCTTTGTACCCCTCTAGTGGCTGTAGAACACACACACATTAGAATTTTCTGCTTTCTGCAAACGACAACTGGACTTTCAGCAGAAATGAGGACCTAATTGAACCACAGGTTCTAGTGCATGTCTTGTTTGACATCAGTATTTAACAAACAAAAAAAAAAATGTTTGGCTCTCTGTTTAATCTTTTAATACCTATCCTAGATTATTGATAGCATCACTTAGGTTCTGTCAGGGTTCTCCTAGCATGGCATTCTGATCTTGTTGAAATCAGTGGAACATYTATTTCAGTCTGAGGGAGCACACTTAAAATTCAGTGTTGCTGATGTTCATTTTTGCAAGTTGGAGAGTTTGAAGCAGCACTTGTGGATTACTGGTCTGTATGACCCAGTGCTGAGTGAGATTTCTTAAAAGATGTAGTAAAATGAGGGAGGTTTATTGTGCTACCAGTGTTYACCTTTCTAGGAAATAATGTATTTTTTCTATGTAATAATTCTCTTTCTCTGACCATACAATAGATTCAGCTGCCTCTGCGGAGCTGTCTGAGGAGAATGAAGATGAATTTGACTGGGAAATGGAACAGATCCCTTATGAAGAAAGCACACTCCCACTGCAGTACCCCTATGGATTTGGGAATTTGCGCTCAGGGGTGTTCCAGCGACTGCAGGTGAATGCATTTTGTTTTTTCCCTTTTTAGAAGTTCTGTGTAATTTGCTATGTAGGCTTCTGGCTGACAAGACAACAGCATTGCAGAAGTGCAACTCAGTTATGTAACTCTAACTCATTATTGTATGAATTGTAGTATTTTCAGGTTTTGGAGCAGGATTGCTGTTGATGGAGAAAGTATTTACGTTCTGTTAGGACATATATGTTGGTTTGTTGTCATGAAATTTATTAAATACATTTCCCATCAACATTAATGTGCCACTACTTAATGATGTTCAAAAGGGCACTACAATTGCCTATTAATTAATGTATAGCCACTTCAGGGAGGGAGAATATTCTCAAAAGTCACAAGAATGGTGTCTGTGATTCTTATCTCATCTTTGTTGTGGTTGTATGCTTTTGTTAAACATTGTGAATTTATCATAACACAAAATAACCTCCCTGCCTTATGATAAAATGGCCTGAATAGACCTGATAGCATCATGAATTCTAAGAAGCTTAAAGTAAGTGCATTTCCTTGGAATTTTGAGGTTATATTTGCACAATGGGCAGATGGATTTGGAATATTTTTGAAAGGGAGGTTGAAGCTGTTCTAGGGATTTCAGTGCAGTGCTAATAAGCATCCTTCCTAAATTTTTGCTAAAAAARTCTTCCATGTCATATCTATGGCTTGGTCCTATAATTTTGTCCCTGTTTGCAGGATGAGCTCAGTGATGTTATTGACTTCAAGGATCCRGACCAAACTCCTGCAGAGGAACGAAGGAGGAAACGTTTGGCAGCTGAGGCTGCMAAGTTTGATCCTGATCATTACCTGTGAGTACTGATTGGCTTCACTTGGCTGAGCAGAAGTACCTTAGACACATTCCCTTTGCCCTTTCAGAAATGACTGGATTTAGGATCACTTTTGGGAAGAATGGCTTTACTGTTGATCTGGTTTTGTCTCATCAGAGCAGGCTTTAGTGCGTGTTCTTAATGTGACACCCACACAAAACATTGCTTATCTGTTTTGGGGTTACTCAGCTGTTTAATTACTCTTTAATAAAGTTTGTTAATGGGGTKCTGCTGTGAGCTGTTGCAGAGCATTGTTTCATACTTGRTCTCTTCAGCAGCTGAGCAGCCMCTCCCTGGCAGCATTTTGGGTTGACAAAGTCAGAACTTTGTTTCCCTCTTGTTAAACAAGGATTGCTGAGCCATCCTGTTCTAGGAGGAGGTAATTTGAGTTTTGAAGTTAGGCAGATTTTTTTCCTTGACCACTTCACTGTTTGCCTTCATCCCATGAAACCTGTTTTGCAGCAGAATGAGGAAGAAATTCCACACCAAGGCTATGTTTCTTTTGTTCTTCGTTCCAAGTAGTGAGTGAAAATGATTCTCTGTGCCTTTCAGGCTGGAGTATTTCAGGTCAAGTTATGTTCAGATAAGTAAAATAAATGAAAGCCATGAGATTTATTAATAATTGATTGTTTCCACACCAGATGGAGCCTGGTGTGAGAAATAGAGTGGGCCCCAGTAGGGAGAAAATTAGTACTGTAATGTGTTTTGTTAGGGACAGGAAGGCTTAACCTATTTTGAGTTAGGTAACTAGGCAAACTTGAAATTTTTCCTCTGTTGGATGTTTCAGMGGCAGCCTCATGTCTTTCTGTAACACACAGAAAATAGAAAAGCTTTCTTGAACTACATTTCACTGGAACTGAAGTAGTTCCTAACCTCTAATGGGATGCAAATTGCAGTAATTTTAAGCTTCCATTTTAGACTCTGTGTTCTGGCCTGGTAGAGCTACACCATTTAGTTTGATAGCTGTGTCTTGCTTGTTTCAGAACAGATTATATCAGCCTTTCTTCAACCAAAATTGTTTTCTGAGGAGAACAGAAGCTCTGGTAGAGATGGGGGCAAACAATTGTCCTGGTGGCTTTGAGGGAAATGTGCACTGGCTGATGTCTCTGAGTTGCTTTGACATTGAAGGGAGGCAACAAAAAAAATTCTGTCAGTGTCAAAGTGAAGCAAATTGCACTATGTGTTCAGGTTTGGTGTGGTGATTAAGAAGATATTAAGAAATTTCATGTGGGTTTTTTTTTTCAATTCTCAGTATTTATACCATTGTTTGCCTTGAACAAAAAGCTCGTATGGTAAAAGGAGGATTAGAACTTGAATCTTCTAGAATAAATCCTCCTAGAATTGCTKGATCGAAATTTTTACCACATTGCTGAGATGGAGGTGATCTCTCTCTTTCAGGATTCATGTACAGCTCTTCTTTTTYCACCTTGCTGCTCCATGTCCTTGCTTCCTTAAAGTCCATCCCCATCCCTACTTCATCTTCACCCTTCAGCTGCACACTTTCCTCCCCACAAATTCCTTGGTTTTTAAAGGGAGAGCTGCCCAGTAAAATCAAGTGATTTGTCTGAGAATCCTTCACTTTGGAGTGTTTCCTGTATCTCTATTCAGAACAAATCAGGTTGGTTCACCTTCATGTGGTGCTGCAAGCTCAACTCCCTGAGCTTCTGGGTGGCTCAGGAAAGGTGGAGGAAGTAGGGAAGGGATACTGAAAGATAAAATAGTTTGTTTTTAATAATTATCACTTTCTGCTTTAAAGCCAAGTAACAGCCTTCTAACATGGAAAATAACCTGGAGCCAAGTGAGATGTATTCTATGGATGTGTTAATACATACCCACATATGAATTGAAATAAATAGCATATGACTGTTCTTTTTCTTTTCCCTAGAGCTGATTTTTTTGAAGATGAAGCTATTAAGCATCTTTTAAAGTACAAACCCTGGTGGATTGATGCTCATAAAAAGATGACAGCCTTGCAGGGAGAAAGTCATCAGGCACATAATCCTACATTTGGTGAGAATATATATATATAAATATATATACACACCCATCTGTTGCTTGARTGATAATTGCTGTGATGCCATGTTATAGGTTATTGTTCTTAAAGGAAATTTATTTCTCTGTTAAATTTATTATTCRTTACCTTATTCCATTATTTTTATGGCTCTCAGAGACTTTTGTCAAAGAAAAACCTTTGTGTCCATTTAGAAACGTAAAGGGACATTTCCAGGGTGAGTAGGTGACCTTGTGAGAGCTCTGTTAGATAACTGAGGTTGCTTCCTTGCACACAGAGATTTCAGAGAGCATTRCACCTTACTGTTGTGCATTTTCTTCTATTGTCCTTTGTTCATTTCCTATGTAGTGTGAAAATCTGATATTGCTAAAGCAGATGATGATATCCCTTCACCAGAGGGTCTTAGAGCACTGATAATTCCTGCATTTCCACAGTATCTCCAGGAGAACAATAGAATTTGGGTAGATGTTGTGTATTTTACTGTGAATGTAATCTGATCTTCATCCCTGGTCTCTTTTCAGCCTCTCAGGCCAGAAATTGTTAATTATGTCCATCATAAACACTTGATTTAAAAAAGCATTGGACAAAGGTACAAGAGGCTTGAAAACACAAGAATGAGGGGTTCTTTTGTTTGTTTTTATCTATTCATTGCTTAGTAAATTAAACACTATTCCTGTTTGCTTGGGTTAAGGAATATAATTAAAATGAAGAGCTGCTGGTTGATTTTATTGATAAGGAATGTTTTTCCTGCAAATTGAGGTCCTGAGGAAAAACAAGTATGTTTATTGGGTTTTAGGGGCACCAACAAACTCCTCAAAAGCCTGGCAAGCCTGCTAGTGAAAATTACACAGAAAATGGTTTCTATAAAGGACCATCTTCAAACCATTTGTTGTAACAGATACATGTTTAATAAGAATGATAAAAAAAAATCTCCTTCATGGGGCTGAGTGGAGAGGCTCGTGCAGTTTTGTGGATCTTGAGGAAATCAAAAGTAGCCTAAGAGGTGCTGTGGAGTGTGGGTGATGTTAATGGCAACAACCCACATTTTCCCTTGGAAAGACCTCAGTTTTGGTAAATTTGTGCTGTTTGAACAAGTGACTAAAATCGGAGGGGATTCCTAAACCTGAGTGAGCTGTGGTGAAGGAAACCACCATGAGAGGGAGTGCAGGTTCTACTTGAAGGTCTCCTATGAATGGAAATACAAAAAGGCAGGAGATGGCTCCAGGCTGTTGCACCTGGAGTCTGATCATCAGTAGGATRTATTCCCTGTGGTTTTAAACTGCTTTATCCAGCCAGAGGAATGGTGCAGTTAATCAGGAATTCCTGTCTGTCCTATGTGAAGGATGGTTTTGTTCTTCATTAAAGATGTGCTGYTCCTCATGTTACAAGTAAAAGTGAGTTTAGGGTGGGAAAGAGACACAAAAATTAGCAGGAGCTTTAAAAGTTTATTTTTTTATTCAGACACGTTGAATGAAGAGAGCTAATTTTTTTTCTTACTTGTCCTGACTTACACTGATGTCTTTTTAGTTATCTTCATTTGTATCTTGGAACCAAAAACTTGATTACTTTTGTCTYTATAATGTCTTTGGCTGCAAGAAGTAATTAGAAGTACAGATGGCCTTTTTTATTTTTTTGCATGACATTGCAATTAACTGAAGATTCTCTTTGGTTGATTACTGCTCTTATATTTATCCCTGGTTATTTTCTTTTTGTTTTTACATCATCAGCTTCCTCTAATGTCTCATTACCAAATYTTTTCTCTTTTTGGTTCATCTCTTCTCATTAACATTTAAAGTTTTCATCTCTTCGATAGATTACTTCGAATCTATTTTTATTTGACCTTTTTACTTTTTCTCCAGCTTGTGTGCATGGTGTGTGTATTTTGCCATTTTTTAATTTTTTTATCCTAAGTGTCTCTCCTTTCTTCTGTCCTTTTTGTACATTTCACTGTGTATTTTCTTCCCACCCTTTTTGTTCACACTGACAGTGTCTAAGTCAAGTAATAYTCCATAAAGCCTTACTAATTACACAGCCTTTCCCATGAGGGGGAAAATTTTTGGAGAGCTTGCTTGCTCCTGCTGAAGTTTACATTAGTGTCTTCCTTCTACAGATTCCAGATGAAAGGGCTTGTATTTTCTAACAGTCACATTCAGCTTGGTTAAAAGTTCATTTTTATTCGACTTCAATTGCASAACTGTAAAAAACTCCTCTTTAGGCAACACAATAATCTTCAAAGGCCCAGGCTGACATATGTATTTAATCTAACATTTATATGCTCCAAGGATATCTTATTTTGTTCAAGGTAACCTCTCATGCTTACAGTGACTGTTCTCTTTTTTATTTCTTTATAGAAGGAGAAGCAATTTCCTTTTAAGTTCCACCTTTCAGTAAGGCTCAGCTCAAATATATGCCATTATTGGTAGATTCATAAGTTTTAGATGGATTACTTTACTTTTCTTTTTTTTTTTTTTTTTAGCAAATTTCTGCAATTTTGCTGTCTACCTGCTTTGCTCAATTTTCAGGGCTTTGCATCATGTGTTCCTTCCTGGCACTGCTCTGCTGCAAAACAGATTTTTGTTATGTGAGGCAATACTGCTTTTTATTCATGCAAAACTCTTAAWGATCAGCTTCCACTGTAAAATATCTCAGCTTTTAAAAGGCAAGAGCAGTAAGAAAGAAAATYATGTATGGTGTTGATAGGTTTGCAGGAATTGTGCATTTCTTTAAGAGTAAGAAAAATTAGTTTAAAGGAAATTGTGAGATGCAGGAAAGGCTGTCCAAGTCCAGTGGTTCTTTGTAGAATGCCTGGAGGAAGAAGGGCAGAAGTGATGTGGAGGAAATGGGCTGGAAATGTTGGTTTGAGAAGTGGAGTCTTTGCAGGAAACCAAGACAGAGCTTTATTTGGAAGGTGCTAAAATTTGAATGGAAAAATTGCAAAGCCAAGGGAGGGATGAACAAACCAGAGTGACCACAGTTGGTGTGAGTGTGTGTGTGCAGAGGGGAATGGATTTGTGTTTTTAGGGCTTTTGGCTCTCTTCCTGAAAAACTGAGGTGCATGTGATCACAATCTACCTGACAGAGCTTTATCTGAAGATGGCCACAATCTGTGACTTTCCAAAATTGGCCCCATGCACAGGGGGAAGAGCTTTTACTGAATCTGCAGTTCTGACTTTAGAGGTGCTGGATCTGTACAGGAGAGAGGAGGTGGGAAGTTCTGTTAACCCCTCATACCTCAGCAGGCTGCAACAAATTCAAGCAATTTAATAGAAAATCAGCTTCATTGCTTCAGTTACTTAAATTTACATTATTATGGAGTATTTTTTAAGAGAGTATTCAGCCCTGAGGAAAATGCTCACCCTGCACAGAGATTCTGGGTGATTCCAGTCAGAGCAGTGCTGTCTTTCATCTTTTATGGGCTTAGGAAGAGCTTGAAAAGAGACTTGTTTGCTGCTGATTAATATCAGTAACTGACTTTATTCTGACTGAACTCATTTATCTGGTTGATGATTCCTTAACCTACAGAGGCAGAAGCAAACGTTTAAAACCTTAATATTGTAATGTAATATTTTAGTTTARAGGAAAACAAAGAGAAGGAGGGGTCAGTTCTGCTCAGTTTTTTCCCCTTGGGAGAGTTGTGGGTTTCCAGTCTTGGTTTGACAGGACCTTAAGCTGAGGCTCTGCTCTCACCAGCAGATTATCAGAGGTTCTTCCTGACCTGCACTTTCCTGACTGACCACTGAGTCAGCGCTCTGTGTGGATCCAGCACATTTTATCTGAGTGCCCCAACACATTTAGAGCTGGAAGTGTCATAGTAGTCCAGAGATAGAGATCTCACAGTGATTTAAGTGGTGTTATCACAGTGTAAAATACCAGTAGGGCTGTAACAAAACACCCTCTGGCTGTCAGACCTCATCCTCTCCTCAGAGATTCAACTGTGCCTCTCTGACACTGCTACTGATGGACAATTTGGAGTATTTTTTTTTCTTTAATAAGAGGAATGACCAGTTTAAAACAAGTAGAAGAGGTGATTAAAATGTAAAGGTGATGTCTGCAGTCTCACCTGTCAGTAACTCGGTGAGATGAATTTGTCTGATTCCTTTAGTGTGGATATATTAACACACAGTTATAYTCTGGCATGGTTTTGCCACTGGCAAATACACAAAAAAAAATTTAAATCAAAGTTACGAAAAACTTGGCAATTTAGCTTACTTGGTAAGTAGCAGCAAGTGCTGCTTTGCATTAGATTAATACTGATAGTTGTACAGATTGTTAGCTAAAATTTGGCAGGGTAAGTGTACAATAGTGTGCAGGCTTTAGTGCAGCAAAAAAAAATGTAATTACTATTTCAATTGTTCTGATAATGTAACACCATGTACTTGGAATTTTTGAACTGGGAAAACAAAGTAGGTGGTGGTTTGGACGTGTTAACAGTGAGCTTCAGGCTTGGATAATTGATTGTTCAAAAACTTCAAGCAATGGGTGGATTTTTTTTTTTTTTCTAACATTGAAGTTTTTTCTCCAGAGAAAGGTATTTTATTTAGAACACCTGGCACTCTGCAGCAACTTAATGARCATCTTGTAACATTTGCCTTTGGGAATTGTCTAGTCTACATCTTGTTTGCTGTTGTTTAGTAGACTTGGAATTTCTTTATGTTTATGGTCCAGTTGTGGATGTTATGATGCTTCAGAGAGTTTAGGTTTTAGAGGAAGAAACCTTGACTGCTATGTGTCCTGAATTTCATTTGGAGTTTCTTTGCTTTTTGTTTGAGCAAAACAGAATGTGGAGTGTGAATCACATTTACACTGAAGAACCAAATTTTAATGACATTTATTGATAGAATATCAATGCATTATCTGTATTTGTGTTTAGGGGGGTGGTACTGAATTGCTTTGCATGAACAGAAAAAGAGAATTAYCATTGTCTTACTAATTTGTCACTTRCCTCTGRGTTTTTTGTCACATATAATACAGACTTAAAAATCTTCCTTTTACTCAGATACTGATTGTGCATTTATCTCTGTAAAAGATCCCCAGAAATCCCTGGCACTTGGAGAGGTTCAAAATCATCAGTGTGTACATGCAGTGCATGCTGGAGCTTGACATTGAAAGGAATATACCAGAGTTTAATGAAAGTTAAAAGGAAGAGTGATTTAGGCTTTTTCTGGAGTGATGGGGGACTTGTGATTAGTTACRTGCTCATTTTTAAAGGCATTGCTGAAGTAGTATTGCCACCTATTAAAGGGAATGTGCCAGCTTTAAATTCATAATGAATTATCCTTTTTATAGTTGTCTTCTCTGAAGGAGAGAGAGAKCAGCTGAGAAAGTTCACAAATAAATCTTATGTTCTGAATAAAAGAAGCCGTCAACACATATATCTTGGATTAATTGATATTCTTCTGGCATATTGCTACGAGATCCGTGTCAATGAAGGGGAAAAGAATGTAAGTTAAAAAAGTAAAAACACAAAATGTTTTAGGAGCCTAGTGCTGGACCCTGCCATGTTGGAAACTTAATCTTTTAAAGTGAACTTATTTCTGGGCATTAAAAATACATKATGAAATTAAAACTACAGACTTTGTATCTCTAGATTTGGTGCACATGGGGATTTCTAAATACTTCTGTTCTTYTGCAGCAGCATTGTAATGGGAGAGATGTGGAGTTGCAGGAAATTCCAGACAATTCAGTGTATTTCTGCTTTGTATCTTGATTTATGGAAATGCAAATTTAACAAAATAATTGTTCTTTACTGTTCTGTGGATGCCTTGCCCTGTTGGAAATGGAATTGCTTCCCAGATAACACTTTTGTGCCTTGCATCTCCTGTGCTGATATGAACCAAGGAGATGCTTTTTCAATGCTTTTAATCAAAATATTGGAACAGGTAATCACAACCATTCTGTCTTAATCAGACTGCCATGTAGGGAGTGGATTGTAGAATGACAAGCAAAATGTCCAGACCTGTTTATTCACCAGAACAATCTGGGATTGTTGTGTTGCATGTCAGTGCTGCACAGAATTGCAAATCTGCCAGGAGCACAGTTGTACAATTCTTTATTGGTTTGCAATATGGTTTATGTGGAAAACACTCTTCTCCCCTCCCCCTTTTTTTGTTTTTTTCCTATTTAATAGGAAAACCAAGACATTCAGGGCACACAGATCTTTACTAGAGCCAGGAAGACAGATCAAGGCTTCCTGGCTTTTTTGCCCCAATCATCCTACTAGACCATACTCCCTCTCAAATGCTATGAATGTCACATATTAAGAATTGTGATGTTTTACATGTACTGTTGGCTTTAGGGCCCTCTCTGAAAGCCAAAAGTCTTGAGCTGTTTTCATGAAAYAAGGCATTTGAGCTTGGCTTTTGTTGATTCAAATCTCTGTTGCTTTGTTTAAAGAGACACAATTCCACTAAAATACTATTTCTAAAGGTTTTGTGCATGGGCTGGATCTCCCCACTATGAAAACCAATTCAGCTATTCAACATCTGCATTGCAATATAATTTTTAATGCTGTCCTGTGGCCGTTTCAATGCACATAATGTAATTACTGCTTCTTACTTACAAAGGTTCTTAAATTGCTGCCAGAATGCTGTCTTAAATAGTTTGCCAGCAGTATTGGATTAGATAATACTTGTTTTACTATCCTCTTTTAAAATCAGGTGGAATCATCTTGGAACATCAGGAAACTGAGTGCAACATTGTGCTGGCTGGAGGTAAGGGAAAAGTAAAGTTTTATATTGTGTGTTCACTCTATTTCTTGGGGTTTTTTTTTTGTATTTTTCTGTGCCAAGTTTACTCTTTCAGTATTGAAGATGAATTAAGGGTATGTCCTGTTTTTAATGGTACTAGAAATTGTTTTCTGGACTCCAGCAATTAGTGGGCATGTGTTGTTTTACCTGCCCCTTCTTTTCAGCCTTATTCTTGGAATAATGAAGGTTTGGAAAAGACTTTTAAGGTCATCAGCCATCACCATGTTCACCATTWAACCACATCCAAGTGTCACATCCCTGTTTATTTAATTGCTGTTCACCCCTTGAAACCAACAGAGATGGGAGGAAACGCTGAATCCCATTCTTTCCACGTTCAGATTGTTCACTGAGAGCACACAGGCCTGTGTCAAGGAATTGTTACAGAGCTGGAGGTGGAAAGGACTTGACTTAGCCTGAAATCCATTAATTCCTACGATGCAGGAAGGTGGGAGAAACTGTCCCAGCCTCAGTCCTGAAATGGCTGAGCCAAGTCTCACTTTGCAGGATCAAAACTGAAATTGGACAGGATTTGTGGGYCCAGTCCTTCAAACTTTTCTAGTGGTGGTGAATGTTACACTCAGTTATAATTTGTCCTGTGACAACAGGTGGTTGAGTTCTTTTATTTTGAATTCTGCRGTAGCAGGTTACCAAAGAGTGCTGTAATTCATGATTTTTTTTTTCAGMTCCATGTCCTAACATAGTGAAGGAGTTTTCTGCATGTGCTTGTCCTACAATAGAGCAGTTCTTGGTTCAGCCTGTGCCAGGAGTGTATTTCACACTGAAAACTCAGAATCCTGGTACCAAGCTGTTAATAACTATCTCTGTTAGACAAACCATTAGGGCTGGGAGTTTTCATCATTGTGTAAAAAAAAAAAATTACCTCAGCTCTGGTTTGTTTGAGCTGGCTGCCATTTTGCTGGGCATGACATGTACACACCTCAGCCTCTAAATATTAAATACAAACCATAAATGATTTAAAGGCTTGCTGGTGATCCATTAAAATGAACAATRGGTTGAGGTAGTCACAGAATGCAAAGAAGTGTTGGCTGTCAGCAAAGTGCTTTTATTAATTTGAATAGATGGAGAGTTCAAGATGGAATAGGTTTTTTTWAAATTAATTAATAAATGGAGTATTTTGTCTTGAAAAGTGAAAGCTGGAAAGGAAATCACTCTTAAGAAAGTCTTTAATAACTCCTTAATACCTCTGGCCTGAGTAAATTAGAGATCTTCCTCATTCCTAAAGGAGGACAATGAACTGTTCTCTCCAGCCAGGTGTATTTATCCCTGTCTTGAATATCTATAATTTTCATGAAAAGCAGAGCCATGTATCATTTTTAAAGATCTTACACATGTACACATGTGTTTGGTTAATATCATATGGATTTAATTTTTCTTTATTCTTAAAAGGCTTTTTATAGCTTCTCCTTAATATATGTAATAATGTGGGGCAGATGTAATTTATGGCTTTAATCTAAAGGATGGCAAAGTCTTGAGTTAGATTTTTTTATTCCCATGTTCTCTATGGCTTTTTTTTAATCCCAAACCATTAAAATGTGTAGGACTTCTGTTATCTTGCCATGCAAACTAAATGTGCAGTGCCTTGTTCCAATTGTACATTTCCATATCTATTCAAATACACATTTTTTGAGGTATAATATATTAAAATGTGCTTTTTTTTTTTTTCTTTTCCTTTTTCTGCTCTGGCTTTTTTCCTTAAAGGAAAATAAACAAGCACACTAGACTAATTCAGATTTCTCACACACAGAGTTTCTCCARCATCCATGATGTCCTGGTATCTTTTGGAAGAAGAGTGCTGTGCTATCCCCTGTACAGGCATTTTGGGCTGGTGACACGTGCCTGCAGTGACACAGTCATGATCCTGCAGCTGGGTGAGTGTTCAGGACTGGGASTTGTCCACAACCTCCTTTATACCTTGGCTTGTTAAAGTTACCTGCAACTTCTCTATTTTTCATGAGTTACTTCTTTGAAAAAAGCATTACATTTATTTTTTGGAGAGAAGGATCACTGAGAACTTYAGTGGTGTATTTTAAATGCTTGTGAGCTGCAGGATTAAAAACCCACACAAATGGCAATATTACTCTTTACTACTGCCAAAAACCGTTGCTGATTCGAAATACCATTGACATTCTAACAGTCAGGGAGTGAAGTTTTAAGGGGAAGATGGATCCTGTCCCTCCTCACTTATCTCCACTGCCTTATGTTGTTGTTCAAAAGTGTGAAAAAAGAAAATTCTGATAACAAAACTGAAGTGATAACAGTGCTGACAGCCTTTGGGATTTTTTTTTTCCTCAGGAGGGTAGTACATGAGAGGTAAGAAATTTGGGTTTTTTTTTAATGTCATGATGGGAAATAGTGTTGCAGTGAACATTCAGTAATGCAGTGAAATATTTCCTGACTTGGGTAAGTTATTACTGGGATGTTTCAGTTTAAAAGTCTGTAGAGTTCTTGTGTCTGAGAATAATGTTTCATTAGAAAGAGAATAASAGCAAAGTTCAGTTTATCTTTAGATGAATGCTCCTCCTTGAAAATGKGGAGAAACACACGAAAATCTGCAGAAAAAATAATGTAAAATAGAAATACATGACTTAAACTTTCCTCCCAAATASATGGGATGAAAGCTGGTAGAGTTTCATGATGATGTAAAATCAGATTATCATATCAAATAGCAGATACAGAGCTGGGGTCAAATTATATCCTTTTTTGAGATAGTCTGTGGCAAGAGGACTGGCTTTCTGAATCTCTAAAATTCAAGTTGCAGGCTGTTGTCTGGCAGCTCTCACAGCAAGGAATTCCAGAAAGATCCAGTGATCTCCAGACCATGCTCTGACTCTTCTCCTAAACATGTTTGGATCTTTTTTATTTGTATTTTTAAATACAACTGGTAGGGTTTTCTGAATAATCACAGAGTAGTATCTGCACGTAAAAAGCAGTTTATTTATTGATCAGTATAATGCAGAGCTGTAACTGCAAAAATGTTAAATCCCATGGCTCCATGTTCTAAAAGCAGACATTTGATAGTTTGCCTGATGCAGAATTCCCTACTTCAAGACTGGCAAGATTTGCAGCCTCTCATTAGAGACCCATTAAGGTTCTGTAATCCAAAACTTTTAATTTATGAAGAAAGACATTTTTCGTTGAGAATTGGTGTAACATTCACTGATGTRCATTGTTACTTGGCAGATGAGTAACAGGAGTGGATGTTAGAAATGCTTTGGGCTGACAGCTTGACAGCTGGAACCTGAAAAAATTAGCAAAATTTTAATTCCACACATCATTTCTTTGTAAAAGAGCACATTTCTCTTTAGTCAAAATAGTGATGTTTGACAAGCATTGATGGGGATACAATTTAAAAGTTATTAGCTATATTTGGAGTTTTATGTTTTCTTTGCTGACTTGGTTTCCAAAACCAGTGGGTTTTTTCTGTTGTGTTTGCCGTGGCTTTTTGCTCTCCACATTCTTTCTCCTTATTGCCATCTTCCTTATCCTTTCATTTTCTGGCTCTTATGTTTTTTCACCATGGAATTACTTGCAAACAAGCCAACAAATTTTGTGCTTGAACAGCAGGGGGAGTTCTGATCTTTTTTTTTTCCTCCCCCTTTTTTTTTTTCCTTTCTCCTCTCCTCTAAATCTGTAAAATGTAATTTCATCCCTGTTCAGGTTTCATAGCCTAGGAGGAGCCAGCCTCTTGGGAGAGGGTTATTAGATTCCATTTGCAGTGGTGGCTGTTTTCATTTGAATGTGGGTTTTTTACCTCCATTAAATGGTGAAAATAATTTTTTTAGAAGTGTTCCAGCACTTAACCCTTTAGCAACTGTCATCAGAAAACTAAGGGAGGAGATTCCAGCTCATTTGAATGTTGGATATGAAGAAAAAAATCAAACTGGCAGCAGAAAGTTTTCAGGTTGTGGAATCAGAAAACTCACATTTTTAATCTTTGACTATATTTATTAATAGTGTGTCAAATGGCTCCTTCCTGAGCCTGAAGTGAGTTTTTTCTTTCATTTTGCCAAACTATTCTGTGAGTAGCAGAAGTAGGAAAAGTTCTCCCTAATTCCAGATCCTGCTCTGCTGTTAGGCACTCATTACATTTCCTCACACAACTCCATGTGCTTGACCCTGCTGTGAGCTCAGTGTTCCCAACCTTATTATTTTCCAGCCCTGRTGTTTGTGCAGCCATAAAGGGAAAAATGCTCCTCTTCAGAGAGATGATGGGGCATAACTCCTTATTATTATTTGTGAGCTGCTTTTCAGCTTGYTTTTCTTTTTAAATAGAGTGCCCTGCCTGTCTATGCCAGAATTTGGGCCAGAAGAGCTTGGAAGAGCTGGGGGAAGGGGCTGCTTCAGCTGTGGAGAATTACACGCATGGCTGGGCTGGGAGGATTTGGCCCTGCACAGATTCCTGCTCAATCCAGAGCTCCCCATCCCCAGGGATGTGGATTCTGAAGGGCACGGTTACAATGCTGCTGTTCCCAGCCTGGGAAATCATCCCCMGTTTCCAACTGTGATTTTTAAACCCTCAAAGGTGAGATGATGATGCTAAAGATGATCTATTATGATTTTGTTTCCAGGGAAAGCTGCAGTTTTGAAGTGTCTGCTGGACATTCACCAGATTTTTATGGAGAATGACCCTKCCTACATCCTCAATGATCTCTTCATTACAGACTACTGCATCTGGATCCAGAAAGTCAAGTAAGTTTTTCAGTGGTTACTGGTGTGGGAGATGTTTTTAGCAGGCTTCATCTATGAGCAAGTACCAGTTAAATCAATTCTGTCTGCTGTACATGGGAATATGATCCATTTTTTCATTTAGTATCTGCATCTGTCCAGCTATTCTTGATACAGAAGCAAAGGCATTCAGTGCATTTTTTAATACAGTGACATCATTGGAGAAAAGGGGGAAGAATTGCATTTAAAAAAATTTGAGTTTTCATTAATATATTAATAGGAGTTTTGGGGAAAAAAAACTAGCTTCTGGGTAGTTCTTCTTGTGATCTTTCTCAGGTAGAGAAATGTTTGTACAGCACTTAGGTAACTTCAGGGTAAAGGTTGGAAGGAGCTTCTAGTTCAGAATTGACAGCACATGTAAACCATTCCCAGCTGCATGAAATGTTGATTTATGGGCTGTAGCAGTTGCAGCAATTGATTATTAACACCAGAACAAGTGTCACAAATCTCCGTGTGCTCTGTGCTCCTGCATTTCTCCCTGGCAATGTGGGAAGCTTTGGCTTCCACTGCTTGAGAGGAAAGAGGGACTCTGCCCCTCCAAAGTCCCTGCACTTCTGTGTCTCACCTGGGTTCTTTAATGGAGTMAGCATGGCTTATTTCCAGAGTTTTGGGAAGCTTGCAACCAGACTGGTTGGAATACCAGCATGTTTTAATGGCTTAAAACCAAAAGTATCAGTGGGAAAACAGTGGGAAGTGGATTAAATGATTAAAGCAAGCTGCATGTTCAAATCTTAGTAAGCTTTATATTGTTCTTGTCAGATTTATTCTGTTTTTCATACAGCTTTTGTATTATTTTTCCTTCCTTTTTATGTCTTCACAGCCTTCTCTGAAGGCCCACAAAAGAAGGTGTGAGTTGGAACAGGCATGACTAATATCCACACAGAAAATGTCATTGTTTTATTTGTTAATGCAGCAAGACAGACTCCTAAACCAGTGGCTAAAATAGTCCTTRTATTTAACAAGAGACTGTGGGAGAAAAAATAACTGGAGTGCAAAAGACAGTGAAGGAGATCTAGAGGGAATTTGGTGATAATCATGGTCAGAAATGGGAATGAGACACAGAATTGAGCCAGCCTGCATGGGCTGTTGGGTTTAGGTGTGACCTTAGCAGTATTTCTTGGGAAATTGAAGACCCTCAGTTCATAGCTGTTTGTTGTGTGTTGTAGATGCTGATTCCTATTCTCTGTGTGTTTTCAGTGACTGTTCCTATAGGTAACAATGTRCAAAATACTCTAAAGCAACTGCAGGTGTTTCCAAATGTTTGGATTCATCAGTTCTGATTAATTCCAGAAAGAKCCAGTTCATTTTGCGCTGTCATATTTGAGGAGGCTTTTTCAACCACACCTTGAATGTGTGGGAAATTCACCAATRTGGGGAAATTCAGGCTGAAGTTGAGTTGGGAAAAGTGCAGTAAATAAAGGAGCAAGTTATTTCATGGCTCTTTCACAAAGAAATGAGTCATTAAACAGTAATATCACTGCTGCCCCTATCAATGAATATAATGTCTAGCAAGTCAGTCATAAAACCCGTTTTTCTTTAAATCCAGCCCAGGAAAATGCACAGTAGCTATAAGTGACRGATTAACACATTTCCTCCCAGACTCTCACATTATGTCCCAGTTAAGCAGAACTGACAGCTGCTGGAAAGAGGGCAATTAAGCTATCTTATTGTCAGAGTGACATGGCACAATAGCTGTCTGTCATTAGGAGAGCAGGAGAGGGAGAGGAGCTGCAGAAGCCAGTCCTATTTTTAGGCCTGAATCAGGACAGCATTTAAGCATATGCTGCAGTCATTGCTGTGCAGCTCAGCAGCGTTTGAAGTTCAGCAAGAGCGAAGGGATCGGTTGTGCTTGGTTTTGTTCTTTCTGTTCAAGGGAACAACAGAGCTCACTTGGCACTCAGCAAAGGCTGTGGCAGGGTGGTGATTCTCTTCAAGGCAAGGGGTCCCAGCTCCCCAGGGTGAGGCACCTGCATCCTCCATTCCAGRGGAAGGAGGTTGTGACATCCCTCTTTAATTCCCTCTGAAACACTGGCACAGGGTGCCCAGAGAAGCTGTGGCTGCCCCTGGATCCCTGGAAGTGTCCAAGGCCAGGCTGGACAGGGCTTGGAGTGACCTGGGACAGTGGAAGGTGTCCCTGCCCATGGCAGGGAGGTGGGTTGAGATGATCTTCAAGGTCCCTTCCCACCCAAAAATCATTCTGTAATTCTGTAATTGCTGCTGTGGTGAAAGAGTTTTGGGAGGAGAAGGCATTTATAGATACTTTTTGGTGGTCTTTCAGTGTAGTTATTTCCCCCTCCAGTCAGTCTGGATACCTCTTTGTTTTGGTTCTTAGCTATTATTTGCTCCATACAAGCTTCATTAACTTTTTCTGTCCCCTTTTCCTCCTGCCCTTTTGTGGCTGAGGACACACTCAAAATCACAGAGGCTTTTACTTTTTTTGGTGTGTAACTAACTCCTGGTGGAGATTTGGGCCTCTATTTAAGGAGTTAAACTGTAGGTTCTTTTTAGTGCAAAATCTGGGCACTTTAAAAACAGCTGCAAACAAGCTCTTCAGCTCACCTGTGCTTGCAGAGATCTCTGGGTTTAGGAAGAACATTTGGCACAGGCGAAATCACAATTCATATATCTAGTGATAGAGAGCAGAGTCCCATTCCAGGTAAAGGGAGAAACCCCTGGTACTGGCTCTTACATATTCCACGTGGAAACAAAAACCCTATAGCCAGCAGTGTGTCAATAGCTGATTACAAATTTGSTTTGAGATCATAGTTTGGCTGTAGGTAAATTAGATGAAAAAGTGAATGTGTCACTGGGCTGGCAAAAGCTGATTTATTTTAAGCACAGTATATCTGGAATTGGAAATGAAGGTGCTGAATAAAACCCAGGTGGYTAATAGTCAGTTGGAGATGGGGAGTACAAGCTAGATTTTTTTTTCCCCCAGAAAAATTGCTTAATTTAGGTGCTTGTTACTAAAAGATTGCCAAATATCTTAGACAATGGAAAATATTAGCAAGTGTAGCTAATGTTTTGTCTTCCTGATTCCAATCTTAAAGCTGGTTCTACCTTTTTAGGTTCCTGGTATTTCCCTTCAAGCTGCTTGTGAAGTGACTATTAATAATTCCATCTATTGTGTAAAGTGGCAYGTAAATCCTTTTAACTGTTGTTAGGTTTTGAAGAAAGGGAGCATGTTGCTCAGCCAAACTTATCAGAAAAGAGGGAAAAGTAAATGTTAACCTGGRTAACAAAAGCTTGACAAAGACCTATGGAGGCAGCTTGTGGTAAATCTCAGCAGGTGGTGTCAACATTTCTGTTGAAAAGCCAGATGCAGCCAGATGGAAAATTGCATCTTTAACCCCTGAGGTCATAATGACATGTCATCACTTCATTTGATCCCCCTGCTAAGTGAGCTTATCATCCACCCTGCTGTCACTTCTGTTATTGCTTTCATTTCCATAATAAAATTAAATTTAATTTGCCTGGTTTGCATGCTTTTGTTCTTTAGGTCCGAGCTTTCACAAGCCACTCTGTTACATATGGCAGCCTCTCTTTAGGGGAAATTGGAACTGAATTTGTGCTCTGTCTGGGGTTTTTTTTCTGTCTCTCACACCTTCCTTTAAGCAGAAGGGGAAGAGGGAGAGGAGAAGGATTTTTGGGGAAGCCACTGGTTGGTTGGCAGGTGCAGTATGGGCAGCTGAGACTGGGGGATCCAAGCATGCATTTATTGCAGGAAAGCCTTTTCTCCCCTCTGTCAGGAGTCTGTGACCCCACAGGAGCTGTGTCAGAATAGTTTACCCCCTGTCTGGCTGTGCTGAGGTTCCTTTGTGTGTCCTGATGCCTTTCTCTGGTGTTTTGTGTTCCCCTTTGTGCCAGCCTCTATTCACATGGGGTTTTTGGCCGCTGTTGTACACATGTGCCTGCTGGCCATGACATGGGTGGGAGGCTGAGCAGCTTCCTACAAATCCTTGGCCAGGCAGGCAGTCCTACATCCCTGCTGAAGGGAGCAGCTCCAACCCATGGCAATTTAAAATACTTTTACCTAATATTTACATGCGTATTTAGCTTTAAACTGGTGTCGGTAAATGTGTGTTTTCTGTGTTCCAGAATTGGAGGTGAAGCTGTGAGTGTTGCTGGCAGKTTGCCAGGGTTTAGTGCCCTCAGTATAGAATCACAGAATGGTTTGAAKTGGRTGATTTGTAAAGATCATCCAGTTCCAATCCTCTGCYRTGGGCAGGGMCACTTCCACAGGACCAGGTTACTCATCCATCCAGCCTGGCTGTTGCACAGTTGTTTTGTTTTTCATAGTTTTATGGGTATGAGGTGTGCAGGAGAATGTTTGATCCCATGTATATTTTTCATTATTACTATTTTTCTATGTTYTAACATGAAATTATAAAAACCACTGTTTGTGTTATGTATTGTAGTAGTTTCCACACGTGCAGCAAAGGAGAGCTGTGAGCTGAAGCAGATGAGCTGTTAAATTGCCTTGCTGTKTTCTGTGGAGCTGGGTCTACAACTTGCTTTGTTATCCTTCACAAATCTGTGCTCTGCAACCCAAGACAAATGTAATGTTGCTAATTTTGGTGACTGTAGGTGTAACATGCCAGTTTGAGCATGGGCTCCTTGATTTAAAGCAAAAACCAGGATTCCTGGTGGCATTTATACAGTCCCTGTCTTTATTGGCGCTAACTAAATTAAAGTCAGGCATTCCTGAGCATGTCATATTTGCTTCTCCTGGTTTGCAGGTGAGACAGCYCCTGAAAGGTGGGTTGGCCTCACAGGTCTGTTTTCCTTTTCATCTCTTCCTCACAATCGAAGCCCAAGCCTTGTTACACCATAATTACCCAGTCTGAAGCCAGCAGGGAGTTGCTGCCTGATGTGTAGGATGTGAATTTCTCCTAAATAAATGTAGGATTAATTACATTCCCAGCATGTCACGGAGGTGATGAGATCGACTCTGATTGTTCAGC